AAAGCTACTCACATATTAAGACTAGAGAAAGTTAGTTTCTTGGGTTTTGTTGTTGTTATTGTTTCTTGTTTTATATTTATTTTTTAGTTCATTGGTTTCATTGTACTTCACTTACATATACCAATCAGTAATTATAAAGCACTTCTTTCTTTTAAGCTTTCTTTAGTTTTGGTTGCATTTTTCATTGAAAATATTTTTTCATAGAACATATTCTTATGCTTTCTGCTCCCTCAACTCTTCCAGATCCTCCATACCTACCCAATTCCACATCCTTTCTTTTTCTTTCTCAGTAGAGAACAAGTAGGCATTTAAAAATTAATAAAATAAGATAAAATAAAAATGAACAAACCAGAATAGGATAAAACTAAGGAACAAATAAACCAAAAAAATAGCAAAAGAAAAAGCACAGGAAACACATGTAGATACAGAGATACACAAATTTCACACACAAACAGATGCTATAAAATCACAGAATTGGAAACCATAATATGTAAGCAAAAGACATATAAACTTAAAACTAAAAACCTCAGACAAAGTACTAGTTCTTATTGATTTGGAAGGATATTAGCCACCATGCATTTGAATTTCCAATGGGGGCTAGCCCTATTGCTTATCAAGTAAGGGTTGCTGACATTGAGCCTTATAAACTGCATTTGATCAGCAACTCAATCCTTATGGAAGAATTGAATTCACTACTGTAACTTCTTCTCTGACCTCTACATGTAGGCCACAGAAAGTGTTTGTGGTGTGTACACATACACCCAAACAAAAATACACCAAACTAAATAAACATAGTAAAAATTTAAAGACTTTAACATTCACAAAACCATTTGCCAATCAATTGTGTTCCTAAAAATAACCTTGCATTAATCAGAAAGCTAGCATGTATTTCTGATGCTCCATGTAGAAGGACATGCTCATGAGTAATTATATTTGATCGGAATTAAAATCATATTTAAAGATAGTTTCATACGGAAACTAACGTAATACCAAATAATTATGCTCCTTGGGTTATGACTTTCTTTGTAATCATGATCATTGAGTAGAAGAATACGAATAAATTCAATTAAGGAGAGAAATAGAACAACCTCTCCTTCAAAATATGTACATCCAGGCACATATCTAGAAAGGGAACTTAATCAGAATCAAGAAAGATGCTTTTCTTATTTTGCTTTGAAGTATATACCCTTTTTGTGTCCCAAGTGTATGAAAAATATATTGAGAAAAAGAGCTGCATAAAACAGTCCTTTATTCTTTCATGCTAAATGTAACATTTTCCTAGTCATGAATTTGATCTGATATTTTTCTGACATAATAAGAAGTAAAATAATTCTTACAGGCCACTATCCCCTTTTATTGTGGACAAGCCAGCCACTAAAATCTCTTGTAAATGAGAGCATGTTATTTGCAGGCATAGCTGTGCTACTGTACAGTCTAAAAAGAAATACATAATATATAATAATATATATTGTTACTTTACTGGAAAATTAGAGAGTAAAAGGGAACAAGAGTTCAGGTAGCATTATCTTTTATGAAGTAGAAGAGTCTCCATCCACCATGCAAGGTTATTATATCAGCTAAAACATATAAGATAAAATTGAAATTTTATTGATATAAAATATGATACTGGGGGCTTGTAGACCACGAAATATTCTACAAACCCAGTTATGAATTTCTGTGACCATGTTTACTGTGACAGTTCAAAATAAATGTCAAGATATCCTTAATATCCAAAAGTATTTCACATCTGAACATTTTTTTTCTTCTCCACTCTAACTGATGCAATGACTTAACACCTCACCAAGTTTTGAGGAAAATGACAGTTATGTTATACTGACTGCATTCCACTTTCACTCCTGCTTTTTCCTCTTATTTGGGGTTTTCCATCAACTGAATCCCTACATGGCCTTGATTAGGTAATTCCATTTTCTCATATTGTAGTCAATCTGAAGTGCAAGCTATGTTCTTTCATAATGGATTGTTACTGAATGTATTCCTACTGCTCTGAGAACATCTGCATGGGATAAAATACAACTTATTTCCTTTAAAATGAAACATATATGATTACTTTTCTTATATTGGACTAAGTATATCAAATGGCCATGTCTGAAACCATCCCTTAACCTTGCAGATTTGAGAATAGTTAAGAAACAGTCTTAAGTGTATACCAACACAATCAATATGTCTTCATAAAAAACATTTTTTAGCTATGAGGAAATGTATATTGGAAATATATAGAGAAAATCAACAAACACGAAAAATATTTGTGAGATCAGGAAAATTAACAATCAAATATACAGATAAAAAAATCTTACATTTGTATATTAGAGAAGTGGTCCAAATTCTAATTCTGACACTCCTGAACCAGAATTATCAGCATCTAATATAAGCTAGAATTCTCATTCTAAAATCACATGTGGAATTCAGGAGTTGCTGCTTTCAGTACATCATCTCTTATCATATATGCACAGCTCAATTTCTAGAATGCCATAGAGTGTGATAGAAATCCTTAATTAATATTCCATCTGAAGAACTAACATAACATTTAAAATATCCAAAATGTGGAGTGCTATAGACATGACATAAAAAGGACAAGAAAATTCAATTATTAAAAGTGTTCATTAAAATGAGCAAAGCCAGAATTATTACCCCAGGTGAGAAGAAAAGAAATCAAGAAGAAAAGGTATTTAAAAAACAACAAACTCAAGAATGGAAAAGAGTGATTGTCTAGTGAAAATCAGAGAGAAGAATGACAATTGAATCCATACAGCCCCAAGGTTCTAAGAATCCTGGAAATGGAAAGGCACTTACTGTAAATAAAAATACTCATTATAGTTTGGCAGAAATTTATGAGGAATTTTCTTAATTGTGTAATAATAATGAAGAGGGAAAAATGCACCAATCATCACATTTCCATCACGACGAAAGTCTTTGATACTGAAATAGCACTCAGAGATCTCAAAAGCATACATTAGAGGGGGAATCTGCAGTATCCAATGGATGAAACTCCAAGAGGTCATACTATTAGTATAAGTGTCTTCCAATACATAAAAAATGACTAGTTATAGAATCCATAGTGCCCAGCAGCTATATACTCAGTTGATGTATTTTGTGCAAGGGAGCTTACAACTTTGTTGGTCAGTGAAGTTGTGACTCTAATCACACCAAGTACTTGGTGACAAGCTTACTACATTGCCCCAGAGAGCTCTTCCCTTAGGCTCTGCATCTGAGGCCCTGTATTCAAGTGAAACTCAAGCTGAAAACATGTTTTGTGGATCTTCTTTTCCAGCTGCATGCATTATGACTTTAGACAAGACAAGTGACAGCAAGTCCTCAGGGATAAGCACATCCTGGGTGGGTTTGGCCACAAGAGTGAACTAAGAAGTCTTACATGTGAAAGCCTTGAGGATGATGTAAACATATTAGAAATGGGTATGGGGCTTCAAGAAAATGTCCATGTCATCCAAAGTATTTTGGCAAAACAAGAGTTTTACTTCCATAGAACACAGTTCATTTCATTAACATTTCCTACATTTTCCCCTCCTGTTTATAACCGATTTTCATTTTTCCCTCCAAATTAATTTAACATTGCATGGCTTTCCTGTTCTGGAGAAAGTCATTAAGATACTTTGATGAGAACTAGAAATAGGAATTTTGTCAGTTATAGCTGTTTCAATTCATCATGGAACATGCCATCAGATGAATGGAATTACATAGCATTCAACTATAATCTTGAGTTATAATTATGGAGGTCAGGAATAAGGTTATTTTCTGTTTTCACTATGTAAATCAATTTTCCATTAAATAGGAAAAAGAGTCCTTTATTCCTCAATTTTCTAATTCTAACTTTGTGAAGAGGTTAGATCTTAAAGAGTGCTTCTAATGCTGCCAGCAGAAGTCACGTTATTAGGAGTGAAGATGCAGTATTTTCCCACTGTTATTCGAAAGACCCCACATTTTTGTGCTCATATCATGTCCAGGGCTAGTCCATTTTTCCCATGCCATTTAAATGGTTGTTTTCAAATGATCAGGTATAGCCTAAAAATTTCTTGTGTGATTCATAATCTTTGCGGCTTCTAGTTTATGTAATTAATCAAGTCTACATTGTTACTTATGGTAGTCTAACACAAAGCACTGACTCAACCCCTGATTATGTTCATCAGAGACTCACCTTGGCACTTCAGTTAAATCTATATAAATTGATGGTCAAATAAAGTTCATGGAGCCACAAGCTTCCTTTTTCTGTAAGTTAATTGATGTTGACCTTGATATGTTGAAGATACAAAATAGTGAAAGACTAACTAAGTGTACCAAGCTGTAGGTCCCATTCCAACTGACCAGTTATATTTTGAGTTATTACCAACCTTAATGGTTTCACATCTCCTCAACAACTCAAAGGACATCACATCCAAATACATTTAACAATGATTCCAATTCCGCCCCTGTCTTGAAGTAAAGAAGTATAGACAGCTTTGATATAACGAGGCTAATTATTTTCTGAAGGTCTTTTCCTCATTCACTTTCTGACTGGGAATAGAAGGAACAAGGATTTATAAAATGAGTAATAACTATTTTTTAAATGGTCAATATAACTACCCACCCACCAGGGAAATTAAAACTATTTTGAGACATCACCTCACCTCACTCAGAATAGCTATCATCAAGAAATCTGACAAAAAATATTGGGAATGATATGAAAGAAAAGAACCTTCATTCTCTGTTGGTGTGGGTACAAATTAGTAAAGTCATTGTGGAAATCAGTTTCTACTAAACAAAGTTAAAAATAGAATATGACCAAGATATGTTATAGAATATTTGTTTACACTGTGTGAAGATGCATCACTGTGATTGGTTTAATAAAGAGCCAATTGGCCAATAATAAAATACAGGTTAATATAATGAGCAATATTGTACAAAGTAATTAGTACTGTGGATTTTGTAATAGAATACTTTAAAGCAAATATACTGAGTGTGATGGCTATTCTTAGTTGTCAACTTGACTATATCTGGAGTGAACTACAATCTAGAAATTTGGGCATATTCATGATCTGGATCTTGAAGCTGGCAGACACACTCTTTTGATCCTGATCTTGAGGAGGGATGGCATATACCATTAATCCAGATCTTATGGCATGGGAAGGTTCACCTTTAATCTTGGCCACATTTTCTCCTGGAAGCCTACATAAGGACAATGGAGAGAGGAAGAGTTATTTGTTTGCCTGCTTGCCTGATCCTTGATATCGCCTCCATTCCTTCTCTGGGATTGGAGTCTACTTCTTCAGGATTCCAGAATATACTGAAGACAAGCTGACACACCAGCCTCATGGGACTTAGCAACTGCTAGATTCTTGGATTTTCCATTTATTGCTAGTCACTGTTGAACTACAGCCTGTAAGTCAGTCATTCCAATAAAATTCCATATATATATATATATATATTTAAACATATATCTCTATCTATACCTATATGGAGAGAGAGAGAGATTCATTTTATAGGTTCAATGACTCTTGAAAACCCTAATACATTGAATGCAAAAAGCATTGACTATCCATCAATCACAGTTGAATGTTGTACTGGCATTTAACTGTTCTTCTACCAGCTCTTCTAAAACCTGGAGTTTCTCTGTTGTTAAAGGCCATTTCTGAACCCATACAGGCTTGTCTGTTAACCATTTTAAAGGTAGAGCTGTTGGTGTCTTCGGAAGATCATCAGTTGTTGTGCCCTGTTCTTGTATAATATGGATGGCTGGTGAACCACTCATTAGAATAATATCTTCTAATATTTCTCTCAGAAACATATGCTAGTTTATGATTTGTGTCTGAGGTTGGAGGGCTGTTAATCTGAGTATTCCATTGTTGCAACAGGTCTCGACCCCACAGGTCATAGCTATGTTAGCCACATATGGTTTTAATTTTCCTCTCTGTCCTTCTGGACATATACTTTCGAGCCATCTTACACTCTGTTTCACTTGAGATAATGTCCCAATTCCTAACAGTTGAACCTCCTGATGAAGCCAAGCTAGATGCCAAAATTCTGGTGCAATTATGGTAATGTCAGCACCCGTGTCTACTGAACCAGACAACAAAACACCATTTATTTTTATTGTTAATTTGAGTCTCTGTTCATTTATAGAAGTTTGTCAAAAATTTTTCTCTATGTTTTCTCCTGAATTTTCTATTCTCTCTGTTTCATCATCCCAACCAGCATGATTAATTCCAATAGGCATTTGGTTATTTAATTGCTCTGAGTAGGGGTTTCCTCTACAACTACAGGAAAGGTTTGAACTGGATTTGCTATGGAGGCTTGCCTGAGGCCCCTCTGGGAGTTTCCCAAAGACCGAGGCAAAGGATTACCTTGCCTTTCCCTTGTTGATCTACATTAGTTGGTCCAGCGTTTTCCCTTACCACACCTTCTGCATACTTCAGAAAGAAGGGGCATTCTGTTGCCATTGTTACTTGAAGAAATGTTGTTTCTAGGAATGACCCGTTTACAGTCCCTTTTCAAATGTCCTTGCTTTTCACATCCAAAACATCTAACATTCCTCAAACCTTTTGAAATTGTTTCTCCTACCCACATAGCATCATGGTCATGAGCCTCAACATTAACCATGTCTCTAATCCAATCTTCCAAGGGGGGAAAACTTGCCTTTAATGGCCTGATTATTCTTTTGCATGCTGCATTCATGTTCTCAAAGGCCAAAGATTCAATTATTATCTGACTGGCTTCTAAATCCGGGACTATTCTCTTTACTGCTGAAGCCAGTCTTTGTAAAAAAAAAAAAAATCTGTGAAAGATTCTTTTGGGCCTTGTATAACCTTTGTAAATGACTCAGTTTTTTTCCTGGTTCCTCAACTCTGTCCCATGCATTCAAGGCTGCCGTTTGACATAGAATTAGGGTTTGGACATCATATAAACATTGTGTTTGTACTGAAGCATATTGGCCTTCTCCAATAAGCTGATCCTGGAAGACTTGTATTCCTTTATCCCTCCATTGTTTTTCTATGTTTTTAGCCCCCTCTTTGAACCACATTTGCCACTGGAGCCTCTGTCCGTGTTCCAGAACAACATGTGCCAGCTCCCGCCAGTCCTGTGGTATAATCCTATTATAAGTTGACCAGGTGTTTAACATTTGCTTTACATATGGGGAATGCATGCCATAAGATACTATTGCCTCCTTAAACCTTCTTAAATCTAACATTTCAATTGGAGCCCAAATATTTTGTGTATTCACTTGATCAGGTATTTGCTGTGCAGTTACCGGAAAAATTAAGGGTGATTTTGTAAAAACAGGCTTTCTTTCTGTAACCTTATGATCCAATCTTGAAACAACTTCATTGTTAATTTCTTCTGTCTGAATTTGAATTTCTCTATCATTCATTTTAACAGGTTTTTCTAAAACTTTTATCCTGGCACTTAAATTGACTATCTTTTTAAATAGTGAAATGAGGATAAGAAAAGAAATAAAGTGCATAATTCGATCAACATTAATCTTCTCATATAGTTGTTCCATTGTCAGACTGCCTAAAATTTCAAACAAAGCCCAATTTTCTTCCAATGTACACATAAAACCCATTTTTTTAAATGTGGAAAAAAATTTCTCTTTTAAATAGTTTCCTTTAAAATATCTGATATCTTAATTGACTTACCAAGTCTGCGTAGAACAGTAGAAATCCGAGAGAATTTCAAAATAGCTACCTAGTGTCTGAGGTGTGAATCCAGAGAGAGAGATAGAGAGAGAGAGAGATAGAGAGAGAGAGAGAGAGAGAGAGAGAGAGAGAGAGAGAGAGAGAGAGAGAGAGAGAGAGAAAGCATAGCCACAAGTTCTGGCTAAAAGCTTAAATCCAGCCACATGTTCCCGCTTGAATTGAGTCAAGCCTGGGCTCTGGCTTACTTAAGCTCCAACCAAGTGTATTGACTTTACAGGCAGGAGCCCTGTTGGGCAGGGCAGGCCTGAGTTGTTTCTAGCACCGGCTTTAAGCAAGTATCTCCAGATGCAGCTAACCGCTTGGGGCTACGGTCAGTCTGGCTTAAGACCAAGCCGACCTGGGCCCGAGCTAGGGAGCCAGGCCGCCCAGGCAGGAAACCAGACCTGCTGCCAAGCCAAGTGGTTTTTAATGGATTCTTGTCATGTTGGGCACCAGATGTAGAAGTAACTATCTTATTCAATAAGAAACACAGAGCCAATACAGAGATGAAAGCCAAGAGGTCAGAGCAATAGCTAAGAGATAAAAACCTTACCCTTCACTGTCGCTGCTGCACTACCTCTCCAAAAGAGAGCTACTTCCTGTGTGTCTGTCTTTTTATAGTGTTTCTGTTCTGCCTTCTCATTGGTTGTAAACCCAACCACATGACCGCCTTGTCACTGCCTGTCTGTACAGACCTCCAGGTCTTCTATGGTTGGTATTGAGATTAAAGGCATGTGTCTCCATGCTGGCTGTATGCTTGAACACACAGAGATCTACCTAGCTCTGCCTACCAAGTTCTGGGATTAAAGGCATGCACCACCATCACCCAGTTTCAGCTATTGTTTGCTAATAGCTCTGACCCCCAGGCAACTTTATTTATTAACATACAAATAAAATCACATTTCAGTACAAATAAAATATAACCATACTGAGGAAACAATGTAAATATATGAAAAAGCAATTCCAGTGACAGGACCACCTCCAAAGACAAAAGCTGCAACAAATATCAAGAAATTATTAAGAAATGTATCAGAACAGGCAAGCTTATTAATCCGAGCAAGCTCACAGAAAAAGTGGGGGATTTCTACTTCTGTGCAGAAGGAAAGTCTCAGGACCATCAGACTATGGAGTAGTGCATCCATAATGCTACGGAAAAGGGAGAATAGAACCATCAGGACACAGGAAAAATGGTTCATGATGACTGTATACTGCAGGGGTTTGCAAATGGCCACATAGCGGTCATAGGCCATCACTGCCAGGAGAAGATTTTCCATGCCACCAAAAACTGAAACAAAGCACATTTGAGAGAGACATTCTATGTAACTTATGCTGTCATATTGTGCTTGAATGTTGACCAGCATTTTGGGGATTGTGACTGTACTGTAACAAATGTCATTAATGGACAGAACAGAGAGGAAGAAGTACATGGGAGTGTGAGGTTGGGACCCAGAGCTGACAGCCATGATGATAAGCAGGTTTCCCAGAATTGTGATCAGATACACGGAGAGGAATATGGTGAAGATGAGGGGCAGAAGCTTGTGATGGTCTGTCAGTCCAAGCAGATGGAATTCTGAAACTGCTGTTTGATTTTTCAGTTCCATATTTTTGGTGGGAACTTTGAAAAGGATAAAGTAAAAAATTGAATTCATGAGCATCTGTGTCAGATTTACTTAAGTACTTGTTAGAATACCCTTAGAATAGCACTGGCTATAGTAATATTCTACTGATAGAAAACTATATTCTATTTTTTACCAACCTTATATAAAATAGTTGGTCTTAATGCTTAAAGCACTCCAAAAATTTCTCTCCACAGTGTGAAAAATCAAGAAAATAGTGTAATATGTTAAGAGAAATATTTATTGAGAAAGGACATATTTCTGAATGGAGAAAAATCTGACCTATAGTTGTCCAGAATATGAAATTGGTAAGTAAAACATTGGTTAGTATTGTCCTAATTTTATGTCATTATTTGACTGTGAAGAGATAAATCAAGAGGATCACTTTTCATATTTCACTCTTTCTCAGGAACTGATGCATTATATGGTCCACATATTTCTGATTCTGAGTATGAAGGTCCTAGGATTTAAACTTATACCTCACACTGAGTTAGATACACAAACTCAAATCTCATGGGGATAAATAGAAAAGGTCCTCATTAGTCCAGTTATTAACTTCACTATTATTGTAATTCCAAAGATGCCTATTGTGGTAAGCATGTAGTATTCCAAGTCTCTTGTTCTCTGACTCTGGAGACCAAGTGTGCGACATCTCATTCTATTCATTGCATCACTGTTATTTCACAGATGTGGTATGCAAAACAGTTGTGAAACTTTTCTCCTCTGCCACAGAGTCCTGCAACCAGAATAACCACCCTAAGCACATGAGGCTAAGCAGTCATGGAATAAACTCTCTGAAACTATGATCAAAAACAGAAATCTTATTCTTTCTGTGTTTTCTTCAGATTATCTCCAGTTCTAAGCTAAATCACTTAAACATACATTGAGCACCTTTGCACATATATATCATCAATTTATATATTGTCTTTGTAACCTGATATATAAGTAGGTAGGTAGATAATAAATAGGTAGATGCTTATAATATATTAATGCTTTATTTTTAATATTAAACAATTTGACTAGTATATATACTCAAGATAGTAAATCTTCTACAAATTAAATTTGTGAAAAAACTTTCTAAGTGTGTGCTTTCTTTGACCTGATGCTTGATTCAATTTGTGTACAAAAGTATTTAATTTTACCAAATACAATTTGTGAATTTGGATTGGAGGTTATCTGTGCATTTAAGCAAGTAACATTAAAAAATAATATTACTAGTCATCAGAGAGGCCTCCTCAAGCAGCTGATGGGAGCAGATGCAGAGACCCACAGCCAAGCATTAGGAGGAAAGAGAACCCAAACTGGATGTCTCCAGTGAGAATCTCCACTCCAAGCTTAAGGAACCCCATGGAAGAAGGGAGGGGGAGAATTACAGGGGCCATAGGGGTCAAGGACACCAGGAGAATATGGTCCACAGAACCAAATGAGCAAGTCTCATAGGGGCTCACAGAGAATGAAGAGGCAAGTACAGAGCGTGAGTCTGCTCTAGGTCTTCTGCAAATATGTTGTAGTTGTTAGTTTGGAGGTTTTGTGTGACTCCTAACAGTGGGAATGTGGGTGTCTTTGACTCTTTTATCTGCTCTTGATACCCTTTTCCTCCTAATGGGTTACCTTGCCCAGCCCTGAGAGGATTTGTGCCTATTATTATTATATTTTATTGTGCCTTGTTTGGTTGGTATCCCTGGAAGCTTGCTCTTTTCAGAAGGGAAACTGGAGGAGAAGTGGATCTGGTGGAAAGGCATGGTGGGGGTGGGTGGCAAATGGGAGGAGTGAAATGAGGAGAAACTGCAGGTGAGATGTTATATGAAGAACAATAAAGAAAAATCAAATGCTCCCATAAAAATATTACCCAAGGCAATTTCATGAATGTTTTTTCCTATGATTTCTTTTAGTAGTTTGATAACATTCCACTTTTACACATGAACTTTAAATGTTTAGTGTGTTTTTATTTCATAATTGTAGCTAATGATATATTAATATCTTATAAAAGCTTCTACATAGAGCTCCTTTTTGAGACATATGCATCAATAACTAATTACAGCTCAAGCACATTCCTTATGACCAAAAACATTTGAAAGAATCTTAAAATATTCCAAAGAACAAATTATCATATTTGAATGGGGATTTCTGATACTGAATGTATAAATTTGCTTATACCATTCAAAATTTAAAATATTAGAAAGTAATTTAAACTACTGTTATAGTATAGTAATTGTGTAAAAACAATTAAGCATGGTGGATGGAAAAAGGGATTAATAGGATGTAATTTTCTAGTAGCAAGTCTCAGAACCTTTAGAAAAGAAAGCAGGCTTTTGCTATCAAACTCATAGCAGCCTGAAACTCCAATTCTTCTGCCACAGCCTCTGATGGATGAGATTAGTTATGTATCACATGCCCTCTAAGGCTTTTTAAAATAATATGAAAAATTTCCATTTGAACTTACATAAAGAATATAAGCAACATAACCCTAGGCATGTGCTATTGCAGAAGCTGAGCTCTTGATATGTATAAAAGTACAAGCTTCCTTAACTTGTTCCTCTCCATAACTACCTAAGATAGCATTCCTTTTTTGAAACACATTGATAAATATTTGTGGAAATTGAAATCCCAACTGAAAATCAGTTTTAATGGAGTCAGATCCCACAGTTTATGGAATGGGATCACTTGAAGACGTACACAGAGCTCAACACACAACAGAATCAGATTTAAAGTCCAAACTGATATGTACCTAGATATCATGTTACTATTCATTGTGGAGAATGTGATGATGGATGACTCAATAAATGAATTTCATAGTTACTTTGTTATATTAATGCATTGCAGAAATCAAAGTCCAAATCAATTATACAATTACCAAAAATAAGTACAAAGAATGAGATGACTCAAGGCATTCTTTACTTCCCTATTCCTCAAACCTTAGATAGCAAGGCTGAGCATTTGAGGGATTAAAATTGTACATCATTTGTAAAAGTATATTTTAAATGATGACTAGGAAGCTGAAGAGCTGAGGTACACAACAAAAACTGTTTCATCAAACAAGGTTTTCAGTGATTGTTGAGAAGCACAGGTAAGAAAGCCTTTATATCTTCCCTCCATGTCTCCTCAAAATAGATGATATAATTTTAATGTAGAAGAAAATATCTCAGATAGTAGTACATTATAATATACGATACATATATATATATATATATATATATATATATATATATATAATGTTATTGTTTAAATAATCAGAAGAGGCAAGTTTGATGATCTGTGCAAGTTTACAAAAGAAGTATTTGTTGCTGGATTGTGGTGGTGCATACCTTTAATTTCAGCACTCATTAGGCAGAGGCAGGTGGATCTCTTTGAGTTCAAGGCCAGCCTGGTCTACAGAGTGAGTTCCAGGACAGCTAGGGCTGCTACACAGAGAATCTTTGTCCTTAAATTTAGCTTTTCTCATTTGCACAGAAGGACAATTGCAATACCAACAGACTGATGAGGAGGGCATGTATCATGCTAATGAGAAGCAAGAGTAGAACCAGCAGGTCACAGAGGCATGGGCGCAGATGACAGTGTAACTCAGCTGGTGACAGATATTAACATAGGAGTAACTGACCATAGCTGTGAGGAGGCAGTTTTCTAGGCCAAAATATTCAAGATAATGAAGGACTGAGTGATGTATCTTTTGAAAGTATTGAAAGTGATTCTTTGAGCTCTTGTTTAGATGTTTATCAGCATCTTAAGGACAATGGTTGTGCCTTTTTTTATTTATTTATTATATATGCAGCATATGTGACTACAGGCCAGAAGAGGGCACCAGATCTCATTACAGATGGTTGTGAGCCACCATGTGGTTGCTGGGAATTGAACTCAGGACTTCTGGAAGAGCAGTCAGAGCCCTCAACCTCTGAGCCATCTCTAAAAAGTGCATTGTTGTATGAAGATGGAAGTCAGAGCTGACAGCATGTAAAATTAGTAGATTCTCCAGAATGGTGACTTGGTATTTGAGCGACAACAGGCTGAATATGAAAGGTTGTAGTGGTGGATCATCTGTTAGTCCCAGGAGAAGAAATTCTGTCAGTGCCTGTGCTACTGGTGTTATATTTACGAAGTGATCTCTGATGCCAATGCATTCAAGACTACTTCCTACTTTCTCTTCTAGCAGGTTCAGAGTAGCTGGATTTATGTTGAGGTCCTTGATCCACTTCGACTTAAGTTTTGTGCACGGTGATAGATATGGATCTATTTGCAGCCTTCTACATGTTGATATCCAGTTATGCCAGCACCATTTGTTGAAGATGCTTTCTTTTTTCCATTGTGCACTTTTGGCTTCTTTGTCAAAAATTATATGTTCATAGGTGTGCAGATTAATGTCAGGAACACCCTAATTGTCATGCTAGAAACCCCATCCAACGACTGAGGGATCTGGATGCAGAGATCCATGGCTAGGCCCCGGGTAGAGTTCTGGGAGTCCAATTAGTGAGAAAGAGGAGGGTTTATATGAGCGAGAATTGTTGAAACCAAGGTTGGATAAAGCACAGGGACAAATAGCCAAACGAATGGAAACACATGCACCAATGGCTGAGGGGTCCTCAACTGGATCAGGCCCTCTGAATGGGTGAGACAGTTGATTGGCTTGATCTGTTTGGGAGGCACCCAGGCAGTGGGACTGGGTCCTGTGCTCATTGCATGAGTTGGCTGTTTGAAACCTGGGTCCTATGCAGGGTCGCTTGGCTCGGCCTGGGAGGAGGGGACTGGACCTGCCTGGACTGAGTCTACCAGGTTGATCTCAGTCCTCAGGGGAGGCTTTGCCCTGGAGGAGGTGGGAATGGGGGGTGGGATGGGGGGAAGGTGAGGGGGGGGAGGGGGAGAACAAGGGAATCTGTGACTGATATGTAGAATTGAATTGTATTGCAAAATAAAAAAAATTCTGAAATGTTTGTTTCGTTTAAATTTTTGATAGATTATACCAAAAAGAAAAGATTGGAAATAAAATGAAATGAATAATTTCTTTACAAAAT